GTACGCCTTTATGCGTACCGCACAAGAGTATCAACGAGATTAAGTTGATTATACGTGCAGAAGGAAATACACACGTTCCCTCTCTATATACGAGTATAGATATCACAACTTGAGTTTCAACGTAAAGAAGAATTGGAGCGATACCAAACGCTGTTCGTGGATTACTGAGAGGGTGTCGGACGGTGAATTCTCTTCGAGGTTCCCGTCCGCGAATGACAGGTTCTATATATTCGCCCATCCATCTCGCTTATCTCATTCGAGGAGGTAACTCAATGATAATTGCGAATTGGATGACCGCCCCGACCGTGAATTGAGGTAGAAGCCTGTAGAGATGGTCGCGTTGTATTAAGAATTGAATAGGTGCCAAGACGCACACGTGGCCTATTTTTGTCGGGGAAACGTGGAATTTTGAAGTGAGCGAATTGAGCGATCATGTGGGAAATCTCGTGAACGCACGTGTCTGTTTTATAACTTAAGCTGCAATTCTGAGCAAAATTCTGTTGCAACGCGAAATATATAGCGGCTGAAAAGTCTACAAATAGCTGCGTAATGAGAATTCCTAGAGAATTACGAGTGTCCGAAGCTAGCGCGAAACATGGTAGATGCCCCCGAGCGACGTCCGTCGGCAATATTGCCGGGTAACCCGAAAGTTTCGAGTACTGTGACCCAAACCCGACCCGCGTTACAGCCGACCCGACCCCGAGCTAGAAGCCGAGATATCCGCAGATTCCAAGTACTTGAGAGACCTTAATCGTCTGTTTGAATGCTTCGCGGTCAATTTCTCTCTCCTGCTCCTCTTTCACCTATGCATTATTGTTGTCGAGATATGCGCATAATTTTAAATTTTAATTAAAAAATTATCTATACATTCGCAAAGAGAGGATACTAGAGTATCATCCCATGCAAGTATTCTTACCTAAGCAAAGATTTACCTCAATTTAAATACTTATTTTTAAATGGCGTGACTATCTCGAAACTGAGAGAATTAAACCTGCAAATGAATCTTGCGCAAATATTTGCGCAAGATTCATTTGCGGGTCGCGTATGTTCGACATTTTAATCTTTGCTATATAATATTTTATAATTTCCTTCCGTCGTAGAATACTACCCTGTTTGCTGTATGAATCATTGGTAATTGACGGAAGCGATGAAGTACGCCAACGCGAAAATCATTTTGACGGACTTTATTCCGGATGGTAACAGACGAGAGGAAAATGATCATCACGTGAAGGCGTGATTGCAGTTAACGAGCGTCCGTACGCGAACGGCAAACAAGTGAGCGGACAAGTACGTAATAAGAGGTCCTTTTTAGTATCAGCAATGTCAGTGTCGTTCGCGGCATAGGGGAAGAGACGAGAGTCACCCTTATCGACACGCAATATCTTTGTTCGTTATTAAATTACACTCGATCTGCTAACACGTATCATTAATGAATCAGTACTTTCTCAGCGGACACTGTAACGATGAACGGTTTCTGCTAATTTTAAATTTTATAAATATATACGTATTGATAAATACATACTCTCTAAATTTTAATCAGTGAATAGTCACTAATTACCCAGTGGCATACTTGATAATACTGGATATAATCAGTGAAGTAAAAAGTTCAACTGAAAAAGGATGAATGTTTGAGCATTACAATTGAAATATCGATATTTGCACGTTAATTTCAATCATCTAATATTATATTCATTGAACTTATAACTAAAATAAGATTAGTTAGATCACATAATAAGGATTAGATAGCTTAGGGGTCTCACATTTTATTCACTGATCACTTGGCACTGATATCAGTGCTCAGCTCCACTGATTCAGATTTAGAGAGTAAACGTTTTAAGTATTACGAAATTGATCGACTTATCGCCCAGAACAACGCGTGTAAGGCCAGTGAAATTCGACCAATGAGGACGAAAGAATTTTAGCTCCTATTATTTTGATTGACCAAATTCAATCTTTCAATCTCAATCATCAATGCGTAATCTGATTCCAACCTAATGCGGGGTCTACAACAGAAGTAGCGGTCGTAGAGTCTTAAGTCGTAAAAAATTAACCAATCACAGTCGAATATGAGAAGAATAATTGACTATGATTGGTCAATTTTCTACGATCCTACGACCGCTACGACTTCTATTCTGTAGACTCCATATAAGAGGGTCAGCACACATTTTCCGTAACAGTAAGACATAAAAGTTAGTCAATCAGAGCTTTTGTTTTTAAAAATTCTTGACTGTGATTCGTTAATTCTTATGATTACTTATGATTACGACAAGTGTGTAGCTCTAAGGCCAGAATCAGACTACGTATTGAAGATTGAGATTGAAGATTCAAGATTGAAATTTTAACCAATAAGAAAAAAGGAATTTTAACTCTTGTTGTTTTTATTGGTCAAATTTTAACCTTTCAATCTTCAATGCGCAATCTGGCTCCGACCTAAGTGCCGAAACACAAGAGGAGTAGTAAGCCGTCAAGTCGTAAGATATTAGCCAATCACAATCGAATATAAAAATAATCGACTACGATTGGTTGATTTCTTATGACTTAAAACTTACCGCACCTATTATGTTTCAGGATTAACGCGATGACTATTGAGAGATTCTATAACAAAGTCTGATCGCGAGATGACAAATTTTGAGTGACCCGTCATTTTTGTTAAGTTTAGTAAGTTGAATAAGATAGTATAAGTCAGAATGATTAAAATAGAATGAGTAAGGTAGTATAAGTTAAAATAAGATAATATAAAAGAGAGAGAGAGAGAGAGAGAGAGAGAGAGAGAGAAAGCATGTATATTCTTCTATCTTACTCTTGTTTTGACAAAATTGCTCTTATAAGGTCTCTAGCGTCTATGATAGAGTAGTGAGTCTTAAGAAATTGACCAAACGATTATTCTCCTAGCATTCGATTGTGATTGGTCAATTTCTCACGACTTAAGGTTTACTACCCTACTGTAGACGGCGTTGAGAAAGAAAATTCCAAGGTAGAGTCGTATTCTCGAGGTGGACTCGCGCGAAAGAACGAGTGAGCTACGAATCGTGAAACTTGCTGCAATCTGTGTATAAAAATAAATGTTTCCCAATTGTGTTCCGAGTATCAGTCCCAAGAGTTACGCGCGAGTGTATTAAGAATATCGATCTCTTTTGGAGATCTAATAGACCCTATCTTCATACCGAAGCTACATGAATAGACCACGCGGACACTATAACTCATAATTTAGGTACGGCGCTGACAAATGGTGACAAAGAAGAAGAGCGCGTGTGGGTAGGTTACCGAAGAGGGGAAGGCAAGCGATTTACGACACATACTCTCTCCTCCACGAGCTAGTTTGCCATCTGTATTTCCATCTCTTTCATCATTATTGCAGAGTAATGCCCTGAACGAATACGAGGATTTCGTCCGCGACAGATTAGCTTATCGTGCAAAATCATGGATCAACGTGATCAGTCATCGATTGGTAAAAGCCAATTTAATGGAGGGTAAATAAAGCGCTCGAAAATGCATCTGCGCCGTAGTTTAATGGCATCATATATTTGACACGTCCCTGCAATTTATCAATCTTGATGCAACCTTAATGGCAAAATGTACATACGTCATGCTTATCGTTACGCAAAATCCGACGGAAAACGGAATTAGCATAGAGCGCGTGATAAAAATCTAAATATTTGTAGCCTGTCCCGCAACATTATTGCACAAATCAATTATCTCTAAACGTCTTTCTTTCTTTGTTCTTCTTCTCCCTTTCTCTTGACTTTATCGATTTACTTTTACAGATACAAATAAGGGAATGATCATCACCCACACCGAGATATTCATTATATTTCAATAAATATATTTGAAAACCTTTTACACTATATAATATATGTACATTTAACCGCTAAATTACGCGTTAGATTAGGCGTAACGACACGGTGACAAATCGAGATGTTGTTGCATGACGAAGAGATGCAGTTTTCTGGTCGCACAATCTTTGACAATGTCCAGCGATTGACCCATCAATTTGTTCGTCCGCGTATTCCGTTACATTCGTATCTGCGATCCGTCTTTCCGTTCTGCCAATTGCCCATATTTATCTGTCCGTCCCGTCCGTTTCGGCGTTGCCGTCGATCCGCCCATCGGGTCCATCGGTCCATCTATCAACCCTCTGCCCGTCCATCCCGTGTCACCCGCCGAGAACTGAATGCGTGCGTGCGTACATGCGTGCGTGCGTGCGTGCATACTTATCCAATCTATCCGCCAATCTATTCAACTTGTTCGCGAGCCTTCTCTCTCTCTCTCTCTCTCTCGCTCTCTCTCTCGCCCCCCTCTCTCTCTCTCTCGCTCTCTCCCTTATTTTATCTACCTGTTTATCTATCTTTCGCAATCGTTTGCTTTCTTCGCGCTCCCACTTGGATCTTGACACGCCGCCTCGATCGACCTACAGAACGACCTATCGCGCGCCCGTTCAACTCGTTCTCCACTCCCGAGACGAGTCCCACGAGAGTCCCGGGAATTCCCCGAGACGTGTGGTTCTCTCGTGCGGACGTCGCGCCGCGAGATCCGGAAGGAGGTTCGCGCGCGCTCGCGGCCAACGGCACGCAGCCGTCAAAGTCGGGATAGAATGGAAGCTGTCGCTGGACCCTTACCTGGAGAGGCTGACAATCCTAGATGCTGGACACCCCGCAGCTACGCTCGATTACTGGCATAGCGTGGCTCTTCTTCGGCACGACACTCTGACAGGCCGCCGAACTCTCTCCCTCTCTCTCTCTCTCTCTCTTTCTTTCTCTCTCTATCTATCTAACTATCTCTCTCCTCTCTCTCTCTCTTTCTCTCTCTCTCTCTCTCTCTATCTCTCTCTCGCTCGACTCGTAAAGTGTCCTACCTCGTGAGGTTCGTCTCCTGGACTGCCACCGTGGAGAAAGCTACATGCACCCATACCTACTACCTGGTTGCTAGCGCTATTGATCCAGGACCCCCAGACTCCCAACCGACCCACGCAGACGCCTCGCGTTGCTGCGTCGCTTTAGCAACGTGACGTCATTCACCGCCCCGCGACGCCCAGCCCGCCGCCAGGATTTTCTATACATCTTTCGCCTCTCTCTCGCAAACCTTTCCAGCGCTGCTGCCGCCACCGCAGCTGCGGCCGCTACCACCACCGCTACCGACGACGACGACGACGTCGGCGCCACCGGTTCCTCTGGGTCCCAACATCCCTGTGTACCACACAACATCACGTCACCGATCTCGCCACGAACGCCCGATTTCAACGAACTACGTACATGTATATAGCGCCATTGATAAAATGAAATCTCTCTCTCTCTCTCTCTCTCTTTCTCTCTCTCTCTCTCTCTC